CGTGGGTTAAGTCATTTTATAGTTTAATTGCAAGTTTTAATGCTTTCAAGTTCCTGAATTAAAGTATTTTTTATGCCCAAACACTTCCCAACAGAGAGTTGGGTGAACAGAAAGTAAAACCATATTGATGCTTTTTTTTTTTTTACTGTCTAAAGCACCAACAAAACCTTCAACATATTTCCTGAACTGCTTACACAGATTACTCTGTATTATAGATGTATTTACATTAAAAGCATGAAGAAAAACATGAACTAACATGCAAATGAATATATAATGGTTTGTGACAGGCATTACTTTATGTCACTTAAATAAAAATCTAATCAGGTTAGAAAGAATGGAAGACGAAAAACAACTTTAAATACGGTTTAAGGATGAATATTTTTCCAAAATCCAAAAAATAAGAGATCCTGGAGTTGAGTTACTCATTTAGCATTTCTGTTTTTATTGTGTTGTGATGTCATTATTTAAAAAAAAATGACAAGGAAGTTAACCGAGGCAAACACCTGAACAGGTGGACATAAACTGGTCAATATTCCAAAGACAAGAACTTTGAGGACTTAGGCCAGTAAACGAGCAGGTTATAGCACAGCCAGTCTCAAAAGCAGTTTGCTTCCACTTTTTTTCTCAAAATGAATTCTCATTAGTCATAACTCATATCTTATATCTACATAGAAAACACAGATTTATAAGACATACACATTTTTATTAATGGAGCTAGTAAAAAGTATTTCCCTTTGGGATTATTAAAGTATTTCTGATTGTGATTCTGATATATTACTATGAGCTCAGTGCAAAAAGCAAACTAAAACGCCATGGTCAGTGTGGCCAGTGTTTATCTAAAGTTTTATATTTTATGGGCGGCGTGGTGGTGTGGTGGACCTTCCTGTGTGGGTTTACATGTTCCCTCTGGGTACTACGGCTTCCTCCCACGATAAAAAACATGCATGTTAGGTTAATTGGACTCTCCAAATAGCCCCGAGGGGTGTGTGTTTGTTTGTCTCTGTGTGGCCCTATGATGGGGTGGAAACCTGTCCAGGGTGTGACCCTGTTTAGGCTATAAAAAGAAAGGATGGATGCAGGATTTACCAGGAAACTAACAGGGTTAGAGCAGGGGGGAAACTCCAGTCCTCCTTGGGCCTCTGCGGTCCTGCAGGTTTTAGAGGAAACCCTGTTTCAACACACCTGATTCACATCAGAGGGCCGTGAAGCTCAGCAATGTCCAGAGGAGGTCCAGTTTGATCAGAATCAGGTGTGAAGAAGCGGGAAAACGTCTTAACCCTATAAAGCCAAATGTGTCATATCTGATCCGGTTTCTTTTGGATGTGAGACTTTCTGCATCATTCAGTGGTAAAAGCTTTGCTCAAACCCCTGTTGTACACATTCAGATATACCTGATAACAGCCAGTAGAAGACTACAC